AACGTCCAAGGACATCTGGTGGTGTCACTCACATGCCCGCCAGCCGGCCTTCGGCACCCCCTCCCTGACGGCTCGTGGGCTCCAAGGCCTTGCCAGGCCTGTCCCAGGGCGTCTTGGGAAGGCTGTTTCCATGCAGACTCTCTGGGGCCGGTGAGAGAGAGGGACCCTGAGTCACCCCTGGGAGGGGTGGCTGGAGCCCAGGTTAGATCTCGGGGTCCTGCTGGTCAGGTATGGGAGGGGGCCAAGGTGGTGGTGCTGGAGGTGATCAGCCCTCGGGGTCACGCGGGGTCAGATGTCCAGCAGGAAGCTGAGGGGCAGTGGCCCGAGGCGGCTCGGCCAGGAAGGCCAGGTGGGGACACACGTGCACCCTGGGGTCACCTGCGGCTGTGCCCGGCCAGCTCTCCCCCGGTCCATTTCTGTTAGAGACATGACTTAACGATCACTCGCACTCACCTCAAGAGAGGAGGAAGGGGCCCGGCCTCCGCGGCACGTCCACAGCGTGCTGGGCGGTGATGGGAGAAGTGGCACGGCCAGTGCAGGTTTGGATCCTCGGCCTGGCTGACCCACAACGAGGTGGGTATTCCCGGGTGACCAGAATCCTGAGGGGCAGACGGCCAGAGGAAGGGGCTGTCGTGACCAGACCGGGAAGCTGCCTCTCCCTTCCCTCTCCCTGTCTCATACGCGTGCGCAGACACTCTGTAATGAATGAAATCATAACAAATAGCTTGAAATCTAAAAAGAAAGATGAAAGGGAAGAGGAAACCAGACCTGAAACAAAAAGAAGAAAGGAAAAGTGAATCAAGGACCAGCAGCTGGCATAATGGCTATGTCACTGGACTCCCATGTAGTCGCCTGCGGTTTGAGTCCCAGACCCGGTGGTTTAAACTCACGTTGGGTGCATGTGCGTGTATGCCCAAGATCCCGAGAGGAGAATGGAGGAGAAGGGACTGCGGTGTGGCCATCCCCTCTGGGGGTGATTTCTCGCTTCTGTCTCTATGTCTCTCTGTCTCTCTCTCTCTTTCTGTTGAGCGCACATGCCCTATAGCAAAAACTTCTCCAAAAAAAAAAAAAAAAGCAGAAGTCAATAAAACAGGAAAGAAAAAGCAATTGAAACAATTGAAAGTCAACCAAAGTAAAACAGAAATGTTTGGAAAAAGAAATACAATGTGTAAGCACCTTGCTGCGGTGACAGAGAAAGGGAGACAGCGCAGGGGCCGAGAGAGGAGAAAGGGGAAGAGGAATTGCCAGTAACCGCATGAGGGAGACCAGGGTGCACGTCACAGCCGTTAGGGCAGAAATAGGGACCGTGACAGACCGCTTCCTGGAAGCGAGAGCGCAGCCTGACAGAGGACAGTTCTCAAAGGACCGAAACACCCAGCCATGCACGGGCGGGAGAGAGCGCGAATGCCCCGTCTGTGCCGTTTCTCAGTCCCGTTCATGATGGTCAGACGTGGAAGCAGCCCCAGTGGCCGGCCGCAGATGCTGGGTGAAGAAACGCAGTGTATATACAGAGCGAAATTCGCTTCGGCCATTTAACAGAGTGAACTCTGGGCCAGCAGGTAGTGTGGAAGCTACAGCAGCTGGGTCCCATATGGCTTACTCCACGGTTCGAGTCCTGGACCTGCCAGCTGGAACATCATGCCAGGTGCATTCGTGTCTGTGCCTAAGATCCTGAGAGGAGGATGGGGGAGCAGCCGTCCCCCTTAGGAGGGAGTTTTCACTTTCCCTCTCTGTCTGTCTCTCTTCCAAGAATGAAGGCACTCTACAGAAAAAAACTGAAAAAAAGAAAAAAAAGAAAAAAAGAAAAAGAATGAACTTCTGTCATTTGAGGTCACATTTCAAGTATGGAAGACATTATGCTAAGTGAAACAAATCGGGCACAGAAAGAATAATTGCACAGGACCAGCAGATGGCGTAATGGTTATGCCGTTGGACTCCCACCTAGTCCACCATGGTTTGAGTCCTGGACTCGGGAGTTTAGAACTTACATTGAGTGTGTGTGCACATGCATGCCCCAAATCCCAAGAGGAGAATGGAGGAGAAGGGATTGTGGCATGGCCATCCTCCCTGAGGGGTGACTTCTTGCTTTTTGTCTCTGTCTCTCTGGCTGGTGCATGTGCCCAATAAAAATATAAAATCTCTCTCCCTAAAAAATAAAGCAGAATCCCACAAGTTCTCACTCACCTGAGGAAGCTAAACCAGTGAGGCTTGAGCAGAGCAGAATGGTGGTTCCTGGGGGCAGGGAGGGCCGGAGGGCGGGAGACACGGCTCATGGATTACAGGGCTTCTTCTTGGGGTGTGAAAACACAACATTCTGAACGTACTGCAGACCACCTTGATGTCTAATTTACGACTAGAAGGGTGAATTCAATATTATATGATTTTTACCTCTATGAACGTATATGCAAAACATTTTGAACAATTAAAAATGGCACATGGCGTACCACACAAACACCACACTAGAGAGCGGGAGTCGCTGTCTGAGCAGCAGAGGGATGAAGCTACCTTTTACAAGTTTTAAAGAGAATGATCTAATTTTATGTATTGGTCATCAGAAAAGTCATGACATATTTTTGCATAGAAAACATAGAAAAATACAACTCCCAAAATACTTCTTTCTTTTCTTTGGAGAGGTTTTTGCTATAAGGTGCGTGTGCTTGCCAGAAAGACAGAGAGAGACAGAAAGTGAGAAATCACCCCCAGGGGGGCTGGTCACGCCGCAATCCCTTCTCATCCGTTCTCTTCTCAGGATCTTGGGCACACACACACGTGCCCGATGTGAGTTCAAGCCACCGGGTCCGGGACTCGAACCGCATTTGACTACATAGGAGTTCAGTGACATAGCCATTATGCTAACTGCTGGTCCCTCAATATTTATTTCTTTATTTTAAATTTTTTTTTGATTTTTT